TGACAGAGTTGATTTACGTCCATTCGAAGCTGTTGATCGTCGATGACAGAGTCGTTATTTGCGGCTCTGCTAACATCAATGACAGGAGTATGCTGGGAACTCGGGATTCGGAAGTTGCTGTGATCATTGAGGTATTATTTTCCACTAGAATTTTTCGAAAATCATGCATCGGCGAAATCTACGAGAGGAAAACGGAAACTTTCAATTTTTTTTTTCTGCTCGTGAAGACTTTTTGAGGACTATACTGTAGTTGATGAACCGACCTTATTATATAGATGTCACTGGGATGTCTCTTGACGAAGATTATTTTGTGCTGCATCGCAGAGACTTTGATAATTCCGGTAATTTAGCATACCAAAACTATTTTCGAATCCCGTGCTCACGTAATGGAATCCATTCTGTCCTTTTTTTATTTTTTTAATACTAAATTATTTTTGGCAGGACGGAGAAATGATTGAAGGCGTGATGAATGGAGTGGAAGTGCAGGTCAGCAAGTATGCGAGCAGTCTCAGGAAGCAGTTGTTTAAAGAACACTTGGGACTACTACCGGAGCAGAATGAGACCAATAGCTCGGCTGTGATGAGGGAGGACTACGACGTTTCAGATCCTATAGCAGCTGATTTCTGGAATAACGTATGGCTAGCCACTGCCGAGAACAATACCCGAATTTATGAGAAGACATTCAGCGTCATGCCGACAGATAAGGTTTTGATCCTGTTGCTGAATATCTCTTTTGCTTTTTAAAATTTTTTCTCTTGATAAAACGTGGAAGCACCGGATGGGACGGAACGAGCTTTTTTTGTTATTTTATTTTATTTTTTTGAAAAATCAACTTGCTAATGAGAGAGCATCGAAAATTTCAAGATGAAAATTTCCTGCATAATTTCCCTCATAACTTATTTTAGTTCTTGTGTCTTGAAAACATCACGGAGTTAGTGACTCCTTTTAATATCGTCCAGGTGTCGCTTGAACTTTGCTACACTCCACGAAGCTTTATTTATTTAAAACAGCATAATTTATTGAAAAATTATTTCACGTCATTCTGACTTGAGTCAAATGGAACCTTGAGAACATTCGTTGATGTTCGAAAACCTTTTAACGCATGATAATTTGGGAACCGCTTCAAATGAAGTTGACTCGTGTTAAACACTCATTTATGATAATTCGTCAAATGTTGGGGAGTGTGAAATGCATTTTTTCATGCGTACTCTTTTTTTTTCAAAGGCGAAATCATTTGCGGCTTTGAAAGAAATGCAGCGAACTGTTCCCCTGGCTATCAGCGACATGGACACAGCTCGGGAGGTTCTGAAGGGCATTCGTGGCTATTTGGTTCAGATGCCG